GGTGATGAGAGGCAAGATGTGGGGTTGAGAAACCTTAATATGTGTAAGTGCTATAGAAAAAGAAAGGTCTCAGACATAGGAGAAGATACATCCTGAGTACAGTCTGAGCATGCACCAGAGGGATGGAATTCAGGCCACAGCAGAGGGATTAGGTTCAGAAGGTGAGCGACAGTGACATCCAGTGTGGCTGGAGTGATGGAAGGAAGGATGAGTAGGGCGCAGATAAGATCACAGGTGAAACAGAAGGAAAGTGGAAGAGTTCTCATCTCTTTCTTCTATTTTCTCTATGAAGTAGGTTCTCCAGATGCTGTGTCCCATTCACTTGATTATAATATACCGAGAGCCAGACTTGACTGGAATTAGGACAAGACCCTTACTCCACATGGACCTTGGCCTGGTGCTGCCTGCCCACTCCCAAGTCAGGCTTTTATGAGGGTCACTGCTCCTGGCTCCCACACAACCTGGTCCCTCCTTTCTAACCAAAAGGTGTTCAGTACAGCAAAATGCTTTGTGCCTGTGTTTTCCTGAGACTTGGGAATGCCTAAACTCTTTAAATGGCAGCAATGTACACTCAAAAATTTAAAATAACACAAGAGAAGCAATCTCTTTATCAAAGAACTTTATAAAAAATGACTCACAATCTACACAAAATTTATACTATGAGATTAAGCCAAGGAATTCCATAGACTCATTATTGAGGAAAACATTTCTGTAGATTACTCCCAAAGGACCAAAAATTAAAAAAAAACCAAAAAACATTTCTGTAGAGGACAGAATTATATTCTATGAACAGTCCCTTCTGGCAGCATTGATATTATCAACCTATATTTCATATAGATTTGTGTTAAATTAAATTTAGTCTAAAGGTCCCTCCCAACATATTGTGAGTTTTGCCTAAAGGTTTCTCTGGATATAGTGAACACTCAGTTGTAACCAATCCAGCTATTTCTGGACTTCACTTCAGTTTTCCATGTCACTTCCTTTTTCTGTCCATAAATATTATCCAACCATTCAGCAACCCCAGAATCTCTGTTAACCTATTCAAGTTCTTGGGGTTACCCAATTAACAAATCCTTCTTTGCTCAATTAGACTCCATTAAATTTAAGTTGTCTAAAGTTTTTCTTTTAACAGCTGAATGGTATCATGGATTCTGACAGATATGAAATTCCACTGGTGCAAGACATTAATGAACAGGTTTAATAAAACATTTACGAAGAAATGACATGTTCATTCCAAAACACTTGCCCACACCTTAAATATTTTAAAATTCCATTTCCTTTGAGAAACTCTAAATGGTTGTGTTTTTCTCCATTAATAATAAAGATAATAAGGACAATCTATATAGAATAGAATGGGTTATTTACTTGCATCACCCAAAATGAATTTGATTTAGCAATTTACCCAGTTTTGAGAAGTAAATTTGGTCTTCCCATCAAAGGCTAAAATTGTTGACCTATAGGCAATTATAGAAGAAAACTTTCTTAAAAGCAAAGTAAGCTCTGCTGGGAAGGAAAGACTATCTACTCTGAATGAAAGAAAGATTACATTATGTTCAGGAAAATTTTATAATTAAGTACATTATACTAAATTATGTACTAATCTAAAATACACATAATTATATAAAATTATATAGAGTGATTATAGTATTTTTCTGAATATCTCACAATGTACTATTTTAATCTAGATATTCTATCAATATTATTAATCTATCAATATTATTAATCAAACTATTCTTCAGTGATGACAAATATAAACACCTTTACCACATTACTAGTCTGAAATATGAATAAACAAGACTGGCTGAGATTGGGTAGAACAAGTATGGAGAAAACATGTGAAAAAGATTATAAAAGAAAACAGTAAGAAGCTCCAACAAAACAGGACATATTTTTCTAACAATACTACTATATGCTTAATCAATGTTTCTCATGATGAGATGCTGAAAGTACTAAAAGTTACTTGGGAATCTTCTATTAAAAAATATCATGACCAATCATGTTTCTAGATGTTTGCATTACACCTGAATCTAAGAGAAAAAGTTGGTTTCTATTAAGTTTTTATAATGTCTTATTGTTAAAGAGGAAGAATGTTCATTTAGATAAATCCTGGACATATATTATTAGTTAGAATGGAAACTAATTATGGTATGGAGACAAAAACAAATGACTGAGTTGAAGAAAAAAAAGAAACCTGACTTAGAAGAGCCTGTGTAGATTCCCTGTTGGATTTAATTAAATTGACTGAACATTATTTTGCCTTCAGAAACTTTTGTTTGCCAATGGTTTTCAAATAAAATAACAAAAATACATTATTATTTCCATGTTTGGGCAAATGTATCAGTTAGGATCTCCTTCAGCTATAAGTGACAGAAAACCCAACCAAGAGTGGACTGAGTAATTAAAGGGCTAATTTTCTCTGATAAAGGACTGGTACATGACTCCATGATTTCATCACAAACACTGAATCCTCTTGTTAAATATCTTTCTATTCCACCATTCTTGGCATGTGGCCTTTCTCCACATGGCAACAAGATGGCTGCTGTACTACCTCAAGACCCATTTATATTCAGGGCAGGGACATCTTAATTTATGCCTTTAAAAAAAAAATGTTTCAAAGTTTCATTCAATGTCATCTGCTTACATCTAACTGGCTAGAATTGGGTCACATGGTTACTTCTAGTGGAAAGACTATTGGAAAAGTGAATATTTTAGCTTTCAAGCCATGATGTAGAAAAAGGCAAGAATGAAAGGCTGTGAATGGCTTTTGGGTAGCTGAGCCACTGTGCCTACACGGTGATTCTACATGTTAGAATCTCCTAGGCAACTTTTAAGAATGCTGATACACTGATTTTTTTTAAAACAGCTGTCTAGATAATTCTAATGTGTAGCTAATGTAGATGACGAGATAACAGAAGAAAAGATAAAAAGCTAGAAATAGCATGGAAAACCTTGAGTATATTATTAAACTTTTTTAAACTCAGTTTTCTCATCTGTTAATTAGATGAAATAACCCATATAAACTTAGTTTAGTGCTTGGCACATAGTAAACACTTAATAAACATTAGTTATTATTAATATTGCTTTGTTGACAGTTATATTTTTAAAAATCACTGTATTTGTGAGCAAATGGGGTTTCTCCAAGGCAAAGAATAATATATAAGAGCATAGATCTTGAAGATAGATCCTGAAGATAGCAAAATTTGGACTTTAAATCTAGCTTGGCCACTTACTAGTTAATTTAACAGTGAATGGGCAAGCATTTGATCTGAGTCTCAGTTTTCTCTTCTGTTAAATGCAGATGATACCTACCTCTCAGGCTGTGGAGACCAAAAGGTACTATGTATGCTAAAGTATAATTTTCAAAAAAGTAAAATCATCCCTCTCATATAAATATAAAAAGAACCTGTATCACAGATTTTATTCAACTCTCTAATCACTGAGGGAATCAATAAGATGATAAGATCTGTTCAAATGAGAATATGATTTATAGAGCTTTATAATCTACCAGTCAAAATTTGTTTGCATTGATATAAACAAAAAGTATTTGCAAAGGAAAAAAAAGGCATTCCATAAAAAAGACATCTGCACTATAGAGTGTTTATCCCAGCACAATTCATAGTTGCAAAGATATGGAAACAACCCAATTGTCCATCAATACATGAGTGGATTAATAAAATGTGGTGTATGTATACCATAGAGTTCTACTCAGTCGCAAAAAACAATGGTGATTTAGCACGTCTTGTATTATTCTGGATAGAATTGGAGCCCATCTACAAAGTGAAGTATCACAAGAATGGAAAAACTGGAGGGAGGCGGGGCAGGGGCAATATTTGTAACCCTAACAATATTTGTACCTCCATAATATGATGAAATAAAAGACAAAAAAAAAAGAATGGAAAAACAAGCACCACATGTACTCACCATCAAATTGGTATCAACTGATCAACACTTAAGTGCACATTTAGTGGTAACATTCATCGGGTGTCGGGCAGGAGGAAGGGGGGAGGAGGAGATGGGTATATTCACACCTAACGGGTGCGGTGAGCATCATCTGGGGGATGGACACGCTTGAAGTGCTGACTCTGGTGGGGCAAAGGCAATATACGTAACCTAAACATTTGTATCCCCATAATATGCTGAAATTAAATAAATAGATAAAAACAAAAAGAACTATTTGTGTTGTGATCAGTTTTCCACAATTTAACAGCTACTTCCAGACAGCTGCAGAATAACCTAGTCCATAGGAAGTCAAGGTGTGAATTCTTGGAATTGGATAATGCAGAACTCCACTGAAATGCCCGCACTCCGAAAGGCACAAACGATCCTTGCTCATTTCTGAGTCCTGACATGTGTATAAAGCAGGTGGCAGAGCGTAAATGCCATATAGTCAGTACTGATTAAGTGGTGGTTGCAGTCATTATTTTATTATTTACAGGTGATGATTTACTTACCTAGAAAACCCAGGCAACTCAACTAAATGTATTATGACAGATAAGACAATTATAAAAGATAATCGTTAAGATTTACCATTGCTGTGACTCTATGAGTTCAAGCTTTGCTGTCTTCCTTCCAATGTAAACATACTAGTAATATGATTTTTTTTAATATAAAGAAAAAGCATAGCCACATTCATAAGCAGGATAACAGATAACCTGCAGCAACGTGCTGGAGCTGAAGCCTCAGGCAGCACAGGCAGCCAGGAGTTGGGGTGACAGAGCAAAGCCTTCTTCCTAATGCTGGGAGCGAAAACAACATTACCTTTGCCAGCTTAGTGACTGGATCTCTGATGTGTCCAAAGACACAAGTGAGAGGAGCCCAAGCCAGCAACTAAGACCATGGTCTGTTCTAGAAATGGTGGGAGGAAAGTTGGTGAAGGCGGCCAAAAAATGATAGACAAGGAGTGTTGCAGGGAAGGGAGAGGGAAACTTCCACATAAGCTGAACCTGTAAACTAAAATTTCAAAGAAAATGAGGAAAATTAACACTAACAATGATAGCAAATAAACTCTTAACCTGGACTTTAATAATTAATGGAGAATATGATGCAGCCATTAATTATGGAAGAATAATGACAAAGAAAATGTGTTAAAGGAAGGAAAACATTTCAAGAGAAAATAGATGTTTCCAAGACTGGTTTGCTCACTGGTCATTGTCACCCTTCTATGCTTTCCCTCCATTGCAAGGAGCCAGAAGTCTGCCTGTGTCAGTGTCTTTTCCATACTCCCCTTCCAGCTGTCTCTCAGAGAATCTGGCAATTTGGGGAGGCAATGGGAGGCACTGCCAGAGACTGGACATGAGGCAGATCTCCCTTCCTCCGAAGGTAGTTCTCAGAAACATGGTAGCAGCAGCAGCAGGAGCAGCAGCAGGCAGGCAAGCCTGAGCCACTGGACATCTGCTCAGGCAACATGATTCGGACAGCAGATGTGGTAGCAGGTACGCCAACAAGCCCAGCAGCACGGTGCCCCTGGGCTACGACAGGAATGGCAGCTGGTGACTCTAAGCTCCTGGACCCCTGCAGCATTGGCAAGAGCACTGACTCCCTGCTTCCTGGGCAAGCTGCAGTGCAGTTCCAACAGCCTCAAGGGCACAATGATTGTGGACTCTGGCTAACAACATCTTCCCTTTTGTTTCCTGGTGTGGTAGTGACTTCTAGAAGTTACTAACCTCTAAGTAAACACATCTTCCATCTTTTGCTCCTCCAACCTTTTCCACATGTTTGTAGCCAGTTTTCTGCACTATGTTCCTGCCGTTGGTTCTGGCTGCTTGAGTGGACACCGGCTGATGGAGTTGGCTATGCCAGCAGGATACAGATGACATTCAGCATTCTCAGATGTGTTGAAAAATCAAAGAGACAGTGATACTTAAGGAACTATAATTTCAACAAGAATTGATCTGTTGTGCTAAAAAAAAAACCCACTTATACATTATAAATGTATATGTGTGCCTGCAGAAAGAAGGCTAGAAGGCTGTGTATTGACTAGAACATTTAGAAACGCTTGCAGGTAGTTTTTATGTGGTAATAGCTCCATGAATGCCAGAACTAGCCTACCTGCTCAAATCCCAGTTCTCCTGCCTCCTGTGTAGCCTTGGACAGAATCTTTAACTGCTCTTTGCCTCAGTTTCTCCAAATGCAAAATGGTTGAAATAATATCTCAGAAGTTTACTGTAGAGAAAAAGTGAGTTAATAAATTTAAGGAATATAGAAGACAGCCTGGTTCATAGTATTCTACAAGTTGCTTTTTAACAATGGTTTTTCTTTATTTTCTAATTTTAATAAAGGATATATATTACCATTGACCAGAAAAATGTCATATGTAAAAAGAAAAACATGATATTCCATAAAAAAGAAATATAAATTATCTTAAAGCTATTACCAAACTTGTGATTTTTTACATTATTACAGCGCTGCAAAGCCCCATAGAAGTTAAACTAGACCCTCTCTCTAACTTTAAGCAAGTCTTTTTCTCTACTTTCTTCAAAGAAATTTCCAGTATTCTGTTATGAAAATATTCATTTTGTGTAACCTAAGTCCCTTTAAATATATGTTTCCGCCCCTCACACAATCATCAAATTAGGTTTAGAACTTTTGATCAACATCTTACATGTAACACTATTCTCAGTATTTAAACATTATGTTGTGCCTTTTCTTATTTATTGTCAGGTGAAATAGATCTTTCTATAGTTATTCACAAAAATGTTAAGGTAAAAATGACATGAACTAATGAATTGATGAATTGATATGCTGTGTTAGGGAGAATGCTTGTTTCAAATTGTAGGGGCCACCATTGTCTCTACCCCTGGCCTTTCACTCCTCCCCATGGAGGGTGGAGTTGCTGTCCTGATGCATGTGCGGCTCAGCCCCCGCTTTTGGCTCCATCTGTCTGCAGAGATCTCAAGCTTTATGTGTTCTCTCTCTCAAGGGACACTGGAGGTCTGTGGGTAAGCCAGCTTCGTTTAGGTGGGACATATTAAACAAGTTTGTTTAAGTAGCTTTATCAGCAGTAAAGCCTTTATTTTGATTTCTATTTGTTTTATTTCTGTATCTGTTACTCTCAATTTGTTCTAAAATCAGGTGAGGAAGAGAATCATGTTGTACATTGACCCCCTCAAACGTCAGCATGTTAAATGTTAAAATATATCCAAAACATATCATTTTAATTAATTTACACTTAAACCACAGGTTCCTACTTGGGGTCCATGAATGCATGCATAAACATGGATGGGAAAAATAAATCACATCTTTATTTTCACTAACTTCAAACTAACATTTAGCCTTTTCTTCAATTTTGAATATAAACAGCAAATCACAGTAGTAGAAGCACAAGTCACTTTGTCACCAACATTAACTACAAATATTTTCATCTCACATAACTGTTGTTGCAGATATCTCTAAATACCATTTACACTCATCACTACTTTGAAATTATCACACTTACTAGGCTTGCCATTAGATTGATTGGACACGGTTGCAGCCTTTCTGTGTTAGATACCTGCATGAAGTAGCTGCCCAGCTACCCTACAACTGTGTCTCCTTGGTGCTTAACCTCCCATCAATGAAGTCACTTCTCAATCGGTAACCCAGATATTAGCATAACCTTCCAGTAAGTGAGTTGTTTTCATTGTTTGAGTTTTATAAAACAGGACTGCTTTCAAATGAGAATTTTTAACTCTCAGTAAGAGTGTGCAACCTTATGTAACTTGGACAAACACAGGAGCTGCATGCAGACATGGCAAGTTCAAATACATCTGACGGTTCAGATCACTGCTGAAATGTGAAGTAGCTTCTTGTTATTGCTAACAGACACTGATCACAGTGTTGTAAGACCTTGAGTAGCGGAATTCTTTTGTTTTTCTTGTGCCTCCTTTGTTGTACACTGGCTGTATTAAGAAGTAAAGGCACGTATACTCAATGTGTTGTTCAAGTGGTGTACCTGCATTATTCTTCTGTGAAAACATCGCACATTTGAAAAATAACTGGAAGAAAACTATCTACAATCCCAGAAATGAGAGCCATTTATTTCTGAGAAAACAAGAAAGCCATATGACTCTGCTGCTGGGGAGAGTGCTGAGCCAAGATGAATTTGAGATATAAAATTTGGTCAATTTCTTTAGGAAAAAAAAGAACTCTGCAAACACCTGGAAACTATTTAGAACTTTTTAAAAAGTGACTTCTGTTTTGATGACATCAAAGTTAAAGCATAATTATGATGTTGGAATGCCCTTAAGCTCCACTAGCCCTGTCATCTTCTAGAGCTAGACCTCAACGAGTGCCATGATCTAAATATTAATAGCATCTACATGTGCTTATCTCAGTTCTGACAGCCCCCTCAGCTTGACAGGATTTCGCAGCCAATTAAGTTTGGTTTTGAGAGCCTATAATAAACTATTCTGCACTATGAATCTTCAAGAAATTGGTGATGGCTCCTGAATTTATTTCCCCGGCCCCGATCCCTCTCTCTTATATGCACATAGTCAAATATCCAGCTCAGTTCTCTGATTACAATTTTCATATGAAAATATCACAGATATCTCAAAACAAACAGGAGCTTTTGCCACCCAAATATGCTCCTCCCGGTCCTTGCCCAGTTTGTAAATGCATGTTCATCCACTGAGTTCCTTAAACTAGAATGAGAGGAGTAACCCTTTCTTGAGTCCACTCTGCCCCCACTGCTCTCCCAGGTGCACATTGCCAGTGCATTATCCTTATCAAGTTCTACTGTTTCTATTCCCAAAATACACTGCAAATCTGTCCACATGACTCCTCTCCAATGACATCACACCAACCCAAACTATAGTCATTCCTGACTGACTCTGACATATTCATTCATCCACTTATCTCACACTCATGCATATAGCTCCTACTATGTGCCAAGCACAACTGCCTTCTTGCTATTCTACTCAATCAGCTCTAGCCCTTGTCTCCAGCTTCTACCAAGCAGCCCCGTGGATTGTTGTAAATACACAAATCATGATGTTGCCCTGCTTAAAACTCTCCAGTAGTTTCCTGTTGCACTTCTTGCCACGGCCTACAAGGGTGGGCCCCACATACTTTGTTTCTTGCAACAAGAAGCCACTTTCAAAGAGCCAGGCCCTCATGTTATTCTGTCATTCACTGTGTCTCAGCCATAATGGCCTTTCTTCTATTGCTTAAACGAACTAAGAATTCCCACATTGCAGCCTTCATACACCCTCCTCCCTTTGCTTGGAATGGACTTCACATGTCTAGCTTCTTCTAACCATTTATATTTCAGTAAAAACGTTCCATCTTCAAATAAGCCACTCTCTCAAAAATCCAGCCATCCTCATCCTGAGTCTGTCATAATTGTTTTATGTCCCTCATAATGGTCAGCCCTATCTGAAACTGCCTTATTTATTTACACATTCAATTATTTGCCTTGTGCACCAGAGTAAGATTTGCATGAAAGCTGGGACATTTTCTGACTTGTTTAATGAACTCCATTTGTATTCAATATATTTGTGACCCAGTAAGTAGCACTTAAACATTAAGAGGACCAATAATAATAATAATAATAGCAAACATATAAAGCCATTTATTCTAATAGGAAACAATTTTTTACCAATATATACAGGAATTATACACTTCCTATACCAAAATGTGCTATCAAAGAGCTATAAATCAAATATTTATAAATTGAATATTTTTAAAGTGCACCATTTGAAACACTGTAATGAATCCATTTGTTTATTATTTCTTTATTGTTAAGTAATAAATTGCTCCAAACTTAGCAGCTTATAACAACTATCATATATCTCACATTAAGGATCAGGAATCTGGGAGGGCCCTTGCTGGGTGGCTCTGGCTCTGGGTCTCTCACGAGATTGCAGTTATCTGAAGAGACCACAGAATCAGCTCCCAAGCTCAGTCACGTGGCTGTTGGCAGGAGTTCCAGTTCCTCACCATGTGGGTCTCTCCATAGGCTGCTCACATAACATGGCAGCTGACTTCCCCAGAGCAAAAAACCTGAGAGAGACAGAGAAAGAGAGAGAGAACACCCCAGACATACTTTTATAACCTAAGAAGTGACAACCCTCACTTCTGCCATATCCTATTGGTCACACAAACTCAAACCAACCCTGGTAGAGGGTGGAAGAGGAACTACACAAGAATATGAAGGAGCGGGGATCACTGTGGGCCACCTTGGAGACTGGTCACTACAATTTGGAATATAAAGACTACTGTCATGCTTATTGCCAAATTAAATTTTTCCTGAGTCAGTAATGCATGGAGCTAAGAGTAACAGAAAGCCCAGCTAATGGTCATTTAAACAAGGAAGAGGTTTGTTTATTTCATGACACAAGAAGTCCCAGAGTAAGCAGCTTATCCTACACAAGGAGTATGGTGGGTTAAGGATGCCTTCAGGGACCTGGGCTCCTGGCTTTCAGCTCCACTGCCCTAGTGATGGCAACAGCACTTCCAGAGCACACTAGAAAGAGACCATGTGACATCAGCAGCCTTCTCTTTACATCTCACTGGCCAGAGTCATATATCTTTCATCTGTGAGGCAAGCTAGGGAATTGAATTTTTAGATATCCCAGCCTCGATACTAGATGAAGGCAAGAAAAAAAACAAAGGAAACAGGTGCTAATTTAGCCCATAGTATCCATCACATTTTCTAGGTTCATATTTTGGACACTGCATTTTCCTAAGGTGGATGATGATACAATAATTTATTGGAGCTACCTTATAACATAAGAGAAGTACAGGGCCTTGCACATAGCACATTCCCATCAACTATTCTTAAATGAATGCATTATATACTATTAGGTGTTTGGTATCTCTTAAAAGCATTAGTTTTATATGAGCATTTTCTAAAATGACTTTGTATTCTGTTTGTATTAATTTGGGGGAAAAAAAGATTTTCTAGTACCAGGAAGTAAAAAAAGTAAGAGAGCATAATAATTCTATGTAGTTTACGTTTCTCTTAATTTCGGGATTTGTATTCTAGGCTTTGGTCTATGCATAAAACACTGAGCCCACTTATACTTTAGCTCTCTTCTTTCAGGCTATCCCCTGTGCCCCCAAGCCCTCTCTCTTTACCCTACAGCCCGACCTCACACATAAATTCTTTTTCTATCATTGTTATTCTGGTTCAGAATTTGATTTTCTAAATAACATAAAAATATAAAATAATAGGGTCAGTTGGTTAAATATATTCCCTTTCTTTAGGAAAAAAAAATTGATGTTATAAGAAACTACTTTAACTTTGTAAAAGAGAAAACTCAGAAACAAACTGCATTCTGAAAATACCATGAAATGCCAACATAGCATTTTTGTACTTCAAAAAAATGTCTACAACTTTTATGCCAAAATTAACTTCAAAATTGAAGCTGTTAAAAATACACACTTAATTTAGTAGCTTTTAATTCACAGGGCTTTTTCATGGGTGGGGTTGCTAAGTGGTGAGTTGACTTTTGCCGCAGAGAAGTATACTGCCTCTGTAAAAGTCAGACTTTTTACTAAGAATAGACTTGTGGGCTGCAAGATAATTAAAAAGTGCTTGGCATAATTGAAGTTCTGGTGAGGAAATGATTAAAGTCATGGCCTTGCATATTGGGTGTATACAAACTACTTTAAAACTTGGATATTGGAATGTATGGCCTTAAAAGGATTGCATTAAGATGAAAAACATTTAAAATACCATTGATAAACCATACTTTTCATTTTTAAATAGAATTAGAACCACTAAAACTACATATTGATTGGGCATGAATAGTGAAACTTGCTATATCTATTAAAAATATAGGAACACATCTTTTAAAAAGTCTAGCTTATCCTTTTACTCAAAACAATGGAAAACAAAATTGACTTGCCCATTTCAACAACAATCAGACCATCTTATTATAAACAGTTTCAAATGTTTTCAATACTACTCAATACCTCTAGGTTTATGAGTTACTAAAATTTAAAAGTTTTGAAACTTAGTTCCTGTTACTTGTAAGAGAACTAGATACCGTTCTGGTATCTAGTACCTGAACTAAATGATTTAAAGTTAAAGAATCAGGTTTTCCTTAAAGGTTGAGCAATATGATTAGGCAACCATGAACAGCAGTTAATTTGGGGAGTTGAATCTGAGATGAGAAGCAGCTGAAGTAATACTTTCATATCATATCTTTTGGTATTATTTGAATTTATTTTTAAATAAAATTATTATTTTCATAATTAAATTATTAATGATAAAATAAAGTTAAAAGCTTATAAGATCAAAACTCACTGAAGGGACAAAAAATAACTAATGAAAATAAGAATTGCCTTATCGAAACTTGAAAAGTAGTTTCACATATGATATGAATAAGCAAGTTTCAAAACAGTAAGATCCAATCCTAAGATCTTATTAAACCCAAACAGGAAAACTTCTAAAAGATTACATATTATTTTGTGTTGTAGTTTAAAAAAAAAAAATCTACCCTAACAAATCTGACTGGGAGTGGTGGTTCATGCCTGTAATCCTAGCACTTTGGGCAGCAGAGGAAGGAAGATCATTTGAGGCCAGAAGTTTCAGGTTGCAGTGAGCTATGGTCATGCCACTGAACTCTAGCCTGCATGACACAGTGAGACCCTGGCTCAGAAAAAAAAAACAAAAAATCAAGAAACCCAAAATTCCTTTTTATTAAACACCAGTTGACTTGGTAATGGAAGGAAAGGCCATTTTCTTTCTTTCACGGTAATTCTGAAGTTTCATTAACTTCTATTATCAGTTTGAGTACCAAGCATAGATATGGACCCCTTATTACGGTGCACAAGGAATATTTTAATTTGTCAAAGAAAGCAATTTTTCATAAATAATATTAATTTCAAATTTGGCTAAAACCTTCTTAGTCTGTTTTGTGTTGCTATAAAGGAATACATGAGGCTGGGTAATTTATAAGAAAAGAGGTTTATTTGGTTCACTGTTCTGCAGGCTGTACAAGAAGCATAATGCCAGCATCTGCTTCTGATAAGGGCTTCAGGCTGCTTTCACTCTGAAGGGAGGCATGTGCAGAGATCACATGGCAAGAGAGAAAGTGAGAGAGTGAACAGGGAAGGTGCCAGGCTCTTTTCAACAACCAGTTATAGCAGAACTAAGAGCAAGAACTCACTCACTCCCCTAAGAATGGCACCAAGCCATTCATGAAAGATTCACCCCCACAACCCAAACACCTTCCACCAGGCCCTACCTCCAACACTGGGTATCAAATTTCAACACGAGACATGGTGGGGATGAACAAACCATAGCACCTTCTACAACCCCTTAATTGATTTAGGATTTCTTTGGAATTTTTTTGTAAGATTAACTTAGAGCCTCACCTAATTCAAGGCTTTAACTAAGATTATTAGATATTAATCTATGTACTTATTTAGGGCTGTAAAGGCTAATGGTGTTCTGAGTCTACCCCAAATACATAACAAAAATATATGATAAATATGATAAAAAACATATGATGAATATTTACATTATTATGTAAATAATGTAGACACCGGAAATAAAATAAATTTAACACATGAGCAACAATGCAATAACAAAGAACAAGTTGGAAAAATTCTCATACTTCTTAGATTAACCATCATACTTCCTCCCCAACAAACACACAAAAATACATTATAAAATAATTTGACAAATCCATAAGTTAAAATCAGACAAAAAATATAACCAATATAAATTTAGCCTAAAACTAAATTGATCTCTCCCTCAACCCTACTTTTTCCTCTTGTATTTTAGTTGATGTCACTAACTGAGTATCTGATCAGCATACTGTGCATCCCCTCCCCACAGAAGCCAATGGGTCACCAAGGCATGTGGACTTCATGTTATAATATTTCATGACTTTATCCCCTTTTCCTTATTTAATTATCATTTACTATCTATGACAGAGTCTCCTGCAGGTCTCACAGACTCCAGTGTTCCTTCTCCCTCTTCACCCATTCCCTATTCTCCTCCACAAACTTACCAGAGTGATCCATATAAATGAAGGTTTGACCACATATGTCCCTGCTTGAACAGAATTCTAGAAAAGATGATGCCAGGAGTGCAGGCCCATTTCCTCCTTCTAAAATACCACTTTAACAAGGAAAGAATACACAGAGAGTGAAATATCTGGATCTTCATTAAAAGGCAGGACTGGGCATCATCTGGTCAGATGACTTAATGGCATTGATCCAGTGATGATATTGGCTTAAAGGGACCTCTGGCTGGAAAAGAATCCACAGAAATCTAGCAAAAACAATTAGGTTATCTACAAAAGAATAAGAATTGTAAGGCCTCAGATGTCTCTACTGTGGGCTGAGGACAGAACTTTGGAGGAAATAGTTGTAACCCTCAGGTTTTGCTCCCACTCTGATTTGTGCTCAGGTTTCCATTTGTGAATGAAGACAATAAAGAAACTCCTGGACATGAGAACCCTAAATGTATACCAAACAGGGATAATTACTAAATAAAATGTTTAAAGCATATCCTAGAAAAATTAAACATTAACCAAAAATAACTATTGGGTGTTGGCACTAGAAAGAACTAGCCTTGAACATGAAATAAGCTAAAAATAAAAATATAAATTTAAATGATTATTTTACACATGGTTATGATACATTTTTATTTTTACAAAAACAATAATGAGAATTTATAATCCCAGACTGGGAAGAGAGGATGAGAAAAGTAGCAAATTTCTTATCTCCAAGAAAAGGTACTGAAACAAAATGATAAAGGAGGATAAAACAATGAAATAGGCACAATTTATCAGGCAGATGTGAAGAAAGAAGTAAGCAGAGATGGCAAAAATATGTAGAATAAAAACATTAGACATAGAAGGATAAATGGACAGAAACATACTTGCAGTAGGAGACTTTAATATTCATCAGTATTAATCTATAAAAGGCAAAACAGACAAAATAAGGAAGTTGTAGCAACTTAATAATGGAGTAGACAAAGATACTTAATAAATTCCCAATGGCAGAAATTATGAAGACCATAATACAGTCGTCCCCCTTATCCTTGAGGGCTATGTTTCAAGACCCCCAGTGGATACTTGAAATGATAGATAGTACTGAACCCTATATATACTATGTATTTTCCTACACATACATACCTGTGAAAAAAGTTTAATTTATAAATTGGGCACAGTAAGAGATTGGCAACAATAACTAATAGTGAAATAAAACAATTATAACAATATACTGTAATAAAAGTTATGTAAATTTGGTCTGTTTCTCAAAATATCATATTGTACTGTACTCACTTATTTCCTGATCATGGTTGACAACGGATAACTGGAACCATGGAAAGTGAAACCATAGAAAGAGAAACCATAGATAAGGGGAAATTTCTATAATATAAAAATGAAAGAAAGAAAATTCTTAAAAATTATATCTATGAAATAAGGAAAGTATAAACCAAAACCAAAGCCTCAAAAAAATACAAAACACACAAACCCACACACAGCTGCACACACACACTCACTCTTAAGGGAAGTAGCCAAATCCATATTTCGGATATAAATGAAGACATTCATTATTAAAAAAATTACTTACAATGGATTAAAGTAAATGAAAATATATAGAAAAATATATATGTATATTTCATGTTCTGGAATGAACATGTTCTGGAATAATACACCAAAATAAAAATAAAACTAAAAACAAAACTTATTTGTCAATTCCAGAGGCACTCACTCATTATTCTGCAAATGGAATGAAGCATTCATACTTTCCCTTATATAATAGCCTGTATGTCAGGATAAATAAACAGTCGATGAAGGAAAGTTCTTTACAGAAAAATCACAGTGAATAAATGCAGAAGAATAATAGAATTAGAAAAATCACCCTTTCAAGATTCTTTAATGAGATAATGGATCTTGGCAATAATCCTTGATGGCTGCTTAAAAGCCTTCGGTTAAAAAGTTGATCTAACTCTTTTTAATGACTGAATCATTCTGACCTCACCTAAAATCACTGATCCATCATTTTAACATTAATAAAAGTGTAACAACCAGACATTACCATGCTCCTAATGTGGTGCAAATGAAAGTATACAGTACCGCTTATGAAGTATTCTTGCCAAAAAATTTTAAACCTGAATTCAATCAAGATTTTGGACCTAACTACTGGTTTATAGAAAATAGATGGAGAAACATGTTAAATAATGTCGTGAGGATATAATCAGAAACATACAGACTATGGGAAATTCTACAGGACAGATGATCCAATTTGTTCCATAAATAAATGTCATAAAAATAAAGGGAGTTAAACTATCAGATTACAAGAAACACATCCACCAAATGCAGCATATGGATTTTGTTTGGAATCTAAAATGAATGAATCATTTGTAAAGACATTTTAAACACTCTAATTACTTAATAACAGTACAATATTAACAATATTGCTAATTACAATCTTAGATGGTTTATTTATAAAAGGCAAGAGAATCAATTAGAAAACTGACAGAATTACTAATGTGATTAAATACAAGATAAAAATTATAGTATTCATTTATACTACTAACCACTAGTTATAAGTTAACAATTTTAATAGCTACACACAACTCCAACACACTTAGAAATAGCTTTATCACAAAATATGTGTAAGATAAAGAATTTACAGAATTTATAGTGATAACTACAAATATTTACATAAACTAATTTTATACTCTATCATTGCCTTAAAATCATTAAACTAACATGTGCTTTTACACATTTTATAATACAACTTCAATAATCACTT